GCAGATATAAAAAAATACGTATCGATTATTTTTGTGAGTTCTAAAAGTATGCCAAGTTACATCAAAATCGGTCACTGACACTTGGGTAGGTTTACTTGTCAGTGTTTATACTGGTCAAGGCAGTTATATCCTTATTTAACTATTAGTTACTATCACACAATTGGCTATTTATTATTATTATAACCGTGATTATCATTATTGTTTGAAATTAAAAAAATATTTTATTAAAAATAAAGTCAATCACTACAAAAAACGAGATGATCGCATTAATTACGATTATATTCCGCGTAGCTTAGGATATCTAATAATAGAACTTGATAAAGGGACCATTCAGTTGCTTAAACAATGCGCGATACGGCATCGCCTGGGGTGCGTTAGGCGCGGCAGAAGCTTGCCTGAACATTGCTAGATCTTACACTTTGGAGAGGAAACAATTTAAAAGACCGCTGGCGGCGAATCAGCTTGTACAGAAAAAACTGGCAGACATGATGTGCGACGTTGCGATCGGTCTTCAAGCTTGCTTACGAGTCGGCAGACTGAAGGATGAGAATAGGTAAAATACATTTAAAAAAAGCGAAGCAAGGAAAGTCTAATCTGAATAACTAACGTAATATATTACCAGGAAATATTTTACCTTCTAGGAAAACCGATAATTTTTAATGTTTCCAGATTAATCATTCTTTTCTTGCGGAGTTATTATATAATGTCTATGATTTATAACAATAAAAAGTTTCATAGGACTCTTAAATATTATAAAATTTCAAATAATGTTGTAAAGAACATATAAGAGTCAAATAAAACGTTAAAAATAAATATATGTCACAGAATTAAATAAAATAAAAATTTAATTGAACGTTAGTAAGCTTCATTACATGTTTCGGCTTTATATCAAGCCATCTTCAGATGTTTCAACGTAGTTAACATTTCCGCAAGATATGCATTAATATTCGGTAAAATTACAAAAATATCCATGATCGACCTTGAATGATAGATGAGTGTCTTCCAAGATACAAAATTTTTCTCTCAAACGATTTACTGACCGTATGTTTGAAATTTCTAGCTATTACATACATAACAGTATATTTATTAATTACTTATTTATGAGAAAGAATGCTAAAAGAAATAATTTCTTTTCCACACTCACCGAACACTCGAGTATCTCATTGTATTAGTCGATCCTTGTCAATAAATATAAAAAAATATATAAAAAATCGCAGATAACTTTTTGTCAATTATACACAATTCTCAGTTAAATTATAAGACAATACAACAAGCAAAAAGAATAAAATAGTATTATTCCCAGTCAAATGAGTTGAAAAAGAATTGTTAAAAAATTTTTTCCTTTCTTTTCTTTGTTATAAAAAACTCTTATGAGACAAGTTATCACAATGACTTCTCGTCACGTACTAATTTTATTTAATTCTGTGATATATATATATATATTTTTTTTTACGTTTTATTTGACTCTGATATGTCCTTTACAACATTATTTCAAATTCTATGATTTATAATATATAATATATGCAATATTCTCTTATTTCAAAAGTGATACATATAAAAAATTAAGGGAAATACTATTTTTCAACTTAACAGAAAATTATTGTTTAATCAAATAATGTTGGCAAAAGGAATATACTGTTAGAAACATGAAATATTATTTTTATCATTTTCGGTGTTTTAAAAAAGAATCCTTTTTTTGAGTGAATTTTGATATTTTATAAAATTTTTTATAACACAAATCCAGAATAATTCATCAAAAATGATACAGCTCGAAATATTCCCGACAGTTTATATTTACTTTTTGATCAGCTAAAACGATTAAATTTAGAACAAAACAATTTCTTCAAATTTCAATCATCAAAACCAACTTGAACCTAAATATTCTCTGAAGAAGATTATCCTTTTTATTCACAAAAACGACACAATTTAAAATGTGTCACTCTTGCGGACGATATTATAATCTCTTTGAAAATCTTAAGAGAACGACAAAAATGCTATTTGGAACGAACTATAAATTTAAGTTTGTTTATTTTAGACGATTGATAGAGTAATTTTTATACCAAGGTCATTTGTGCTAATAAATATAAAATCACATTTTTTCAGTTGTGTCACTTTTGAAGTAAGAGAATGATATTATCTTGTTACTACTTATATGTTACATGTGTATTAGTGGTATAAAAGTAATCGCTAATACATGACATACAATCATATGCGCGTAATGTGTACGCGTATAAGAAAGGCAAGAAATGATTTTGCGTGCCGTAGAGCTGCGCCGGAAATGATTTCCGTCATTAAGAGAAACTCGACCATCAAAGCGCTGGAGATCGCGCGAGCCGCGAGAGATATGCTAGGCGGAAATGGGATCTCGGACGAGTACCATGTGATTAGGCACATGATGAACCTGGAAACGGTCAACACTTACGAAGGTAACACTTACGCGATGATCGTCCCGAGAAGATCGGCGATCATTTAGCACGTTGTTAACGGATCGCGTCATTTGAGACTATTTTGTTTCTCTCTCTCTCTCTCTCTCTCTCTCTCTCTCTCTCTC